TCATGCCAGGATACTTCGTTTTTCTAACCCTAACCCTACCCTGGTGCACACCCCCAACCCTAATAGAGGGCTGAAATACCATTGGAAATAGGGTGATTTTAAAAAAGCCCTCCTTGAGTGGCTTTTTCTGCGCAGCTCATCATTTCTGCCCGCTCTACACACATTGCAACGGTCGAAATCATGCTAGGACACCTCGTTTTTATAACCCTAACCCTACCCTGGGGCACAGCCCTAGCCCTAATATAGGGCTCAAGTTCCACTGAATAGTGGGCGATTTTAAAAAAGCCTTCCTTGAGTGGCTTTTTCCGCGCAGCTCATCATTTCTGCCCATTCTACACACATTGCAATGGTCGAAATCATGCCAGGACACCTTGTTTTTCTAACCCTAACCCTACCCTGGGCCACAGCCCCAACCCTAATATAGGGCACAAGTTCCACTGAAAAGTGGGCGATTTTAAAAAAGCCTCCTTGAGTGGCCTTTTTTGCACAGCTCATCATTTCTGCCCATTCTACACACATTGCAACGGTTGAAATCATGCCAGGACGCCTCGTTTTTCTAACCCTAACCCTACCCTGGGGCACAGCCCTAGCCCTAATACAGGGCTAAAGTTCTACTGAAAAGAGGGCGATTTTGAAAAAGCCTTCCTTGAGTGGCTTTTTCTGCGCAGCTCAGCATTTCTGCCCATTCTACACACATTCCAACGGTTCAAATCATGCCAGGACACGTTTTTCCAACCCGAACCCTATCCTCGTGCACAGCCCTAACCCTGATATATTGGTGAAGTTCCACTGAAAAGAGGGCGATTTTGAAAAAGCCTTCCTTGAGGTGCTTTTTTGCCTGGGAAGATGTCCGTGTGCTTTCCACGAGGGGGACGGTCCGTTTTCGCAAGCCCCAGGTGTTGGTTTCCTGGTGACGGCAGAGGAGGAAGCAGTGGGGATGGGCAGAGCTGTGCTGGACCAAGGCTCTGAGCCAAGCTGGCAGCCTCTCCCGCCACCCCCTGTCCTCTTTCGCATGGGACTTGCCGGCCTCCCCAGGCTCTTGCAGGGATCCCTCAGGGCACGCTGGAAAGTTTGCAGGGCAGTGCGCTAGGGTCCAGGCAGCCGTAGGTTTTCGGCTGCAAAAAACGTGGCGGCGTGGCTTCGGGGTCCATGGGTAAGGTTGATGCGTTCCCGGCCCTGTTTTGCCACGTGGGTCGCAGTGGGAGGAACCGCTACTGTGGGGCGGTCTTGCCTGCAAAACCCACCGCCCCGTCCCAGCTGGACCTGCTTTCCCCTCGGAAGGGGCCAGGATGGCTCTCTGGTTGTGGGCTTTACTGGGCGCACGTGAATATCTCTCTGCAGGAATGTCGTGTCCAAAAGCTGGCTCAGATGAATGTTAAGATGGAAACAGATGCACACGCTCTTCTGTGCAGCTCCTCCTCCAAAAATCACCCCGAGGAATTCCTGGGAATCTTCCGTTCTTCTGCGCACATGGAGAAACTCGGCCTGGTGCCGACTGTGTGCTTCAGTTTTGCATACTGCAAAGTGTGCAGGTTGGGGGTGCCCCTTTTCTCGCAGTAAAAAGGCCAGAGGGGGCTGCAGCTTTTTTGGTGCTTTCCCCGTTTTTCAGAGAATAGCTCAAGGTGGCCCAGTTCATTTTCAGGGCTCTTGCTCAATTAGAGGAGCCAATGGATGACTTAATTGGGTCTAACCGCTTCGATCTGCATGCGACGACCTGCTTTCCAGATGGTGCATGTCTGTGATGAAGGCCTTTAAATTGCTCACCTGTCCAGCCAGTCGCCTCGAGGGGGATGGGGGTCCCAGAGGGCAGGGGCTCCTGCAGAGCTGCCTGGGAGGCTGGCTGGGGAGCCTCCCTGGCTTGGGGGCACTGAGTCAGCCCCCACAAAGCCCTCGGTGGCTTCCTCGTGGAGTGGGCTGCCCGGCGCGCTGGAAGGCGCCCGAGTCCCCTCCCACGGAGCACTTGGGAAGCGCTTGAGTGGGGCAGGGGCGAGCATGCGTGCCGGCCGGAGCGGGGACCAGCTGGTGGCGGGCTCGGGGGAGCGCGCGTGGTGGCCAGAGCGGGGGAGCCCTGGCAGGCACAGGTTCTGGGTGCTGACTTGTCTATCCCGGCACTAGTTCTGAGTGTTCGTATCCAGAGTACTCCCGATCTCCACTCTTCGTGGCTGTGAAGACCCCAGCAAGCCAGGCGGGGAAAAAAACATCGGCGGCGTCCATAATCCGGTGTTCCACCCTGCTCCACCGCACTCCCTCCGGTGTCCCACCGGCATCCCAGTCCCAGATGTTCCGCGCTCCAAATTCCGGATCCCCGGGAAGCAAGGCCACGACAGGTACCAGTCGCACTTTGTACAATCCCTTTCTCGTGAGTTTGCCCCCGGTCCTCGAGCCCCCAGGCCCAGGCGGCTCTCCCTCTCCGGGGTCGCTCAGCACCTGTGAGGCTGTGGGTGGGCAGGAGTGGCCCTTGGGTAGGAGCAAGGGGGCCTGGGAAATGGCCCGCTCGCCCAGCACACGGCGAGCGAAGGCCACCCTGCCTCTCAGCTGGCAACCCAGCCGTCCCGCAACGACATGAGAGCCGGCGGGGGGTCGCATTCTCCGCGCGAATTGGACCAGGAGTGCTCTCGAAGTTAGCAGGGAAGACAGGTTGCTGATATTTTACAAGTGCATCGATTTTACAGGTGGAAGGAGTCAGTGGCAAAGGGTCCCTGAAACTGAATTTATGTTTAGCGAGGGAAAGTGACAAGAACATGGTTTGTCTTTCCTGTTGAGTTTTGGTTTCCAAATTATTCAGGGTAATCTCTGGCATGAACTTGAATATCATTTTCTAATATTCAGTTTTGTACAAATTTTTCTCTTACAATTTATCTTTAATTTGAAGGCTCTGAAAACAGTTCTCAGATATACAAGATCCCTTTGGACTGTGACTTAATCTAGAAACAGAGATACTGTGATGCAATGTACTGGCTTGTCTCTCTTGCTTAACTTTTAGAGAAAAATAACTCCCCCCTCCTCATTCCCAAAAGAAAATCCCTCCAGACAATACTTGTTCCATTGAGCCGGTAGAGTCTGGGGGACAGGGAAAGAGGCCAAGGTCGTTTAGATGGGGAGTGCAGCCGGGTGCCCGGGGCGTGGGAGGCTGAAGCGGGCTGGCTGTGGTCCTGGGCCCAGCCCTGCCCGGATGCCCAGCTCTCGGGTGGCCCGGCGTGCGGTTGAGGACCGTGGACTGGCTGTGCCTGTTCCTGGAGTTGACTGGCCGGGCCACCGTCGCACGCACCTGCCTTGTCTCCCGCTGCGGCGCTGTGCGGCCGGCTCGGGGATGGCAGCTGGTCTGGGATGCTGTGGCCAGACGAGGGGCTGGGGCCGACCCCAGGCGACCCCAGAGCCCTTTCTGCGCAGCTGCCCGGACCGCCTGCCTGTTTCTGGGCAGAAGCCAGAGCTGGCTGCAGCCTGCAAGGCTGGGACCCGGCAACTGGGATGCCACCTTCCCGCAGGGGAGTCCGCCTGGCCCCGCGGTGGTCCAGAGAGGCCCTGCCGGTACAACCACCAGCTGAGGGGCAGGAGGGCCTTCCGGGGAGCTGCTCCCAGGCTGTGGAGCGCCTTCCAAGGGCGCCGAATGCGGCCCCTCCATTCTGCTGAGCTTCTGCTGGCTGGGAGAGGGCGCTTCACTGAAAAGCCTCTTGCCTGCAAGGAGGGCTGCTGGGTTCAGTGCTGTTTGTTTGTTTGTTTTATTCTGTATTTGTGCTTTTACTGTGTTTTAATGTGCTTTTTATCAACTTTAATTGTTCCTGTAAGCTGCCTTGAGTGCCATCTTTTGGTTGAAAGGGCAGGGTACAAATCAGATTAATAAGTAATTGTGTGGAATGCAGTTACTTAGTCCCCTGAGAGATCCTCCTTCATGAGAACTAGCAACACTGTGGAGGAAGGTATATATGAGTGAGAAAGAATTCTGCTTGGCTCCCCCCGCTTCCTCTTTCTTCTATGTATGTATGTCTAAATACAAGAACAGCCCGTGCTATCAGAGGCGTTGGGGGGATAGATTGGCTCGCTTCCAAGTCCCACCTCCCGGCTGTTGCGGGCCTGGAAAAGGAATTCTTCCCAGCTCCGGAGGAAGTGCATTGCTCCCCAACTGCTCCTGTGGTTGCATCTGGCGCGGGCCAGCAGCAGCACAGGAGTCGAGCAGGAGCAGAGTGGGGGTGCCCCACATGCCTGGTGGAGTGGCGCACGGTCTCTTCCTGCGTCGCTTGGAAGTCTGTGCTGGGCTCCTGCGGGACAGCAGGAAAGTGCGGGATGGAGAGGGTGCACAAGCAGTAGAGCAAAGCCTTGGATCGTGGCCCGCACCCAGGATTCCCTGAAAGGTGCTGCGGGTGCAGGAACCGCATGTTCCCGGGGCCCAGCAAACCCCCCCCCCATGCTCTGGGAATGGCGGCGTGGCCAGATAGCCCAGCCCAGCGGCCAGAAGCGGAACCCAGCATTTGCGGGCAAGAGCTGACCAGTGAAGAGCACCAAAAAGCTATTTGTCAATTGGAGGCGGAGGGCGGGGGAGGTCTGTTGGGTCCTCCTTGGACCGAAAGCCAGCTGCACAGGTGGGGGCTGGCTGGCACGGCCTGCCACCTGGGGCAGGAACGTGCCAGAGGATGCTTCTGCCATCCCCCCGGCCCCACAGAGACCCCTGAAGACGCCGCTGTGAGCAGCCCCTTCAGCCGGCGGCTGTGACGCTTGGCCACGCGGAAGCGGAACGCGTGGATTCTGAGCAAGGCTCCGGGATGCAAGGCATCTTGTCCACACAGTGGCCGACCAGTTGTCTGCCGGATCCCACAAGCAGGGCAGGAATAGATGGGCCCCACCCCTACCCCTTGGATACTTCACATTAAATTGATGAGCTGTCTACATTTCTGGAAAATCTTCTCTACTTGGGAATTGCTTTCTGAATACGTGTCAGTATTGCAAGATGTGGCATGGCATACCTTTCCTCTCCACCCGTTCCCAATTATGGGGCCCTGGGCAGGGGGCTGCAGCCCCGTGGCTGGGGATGGTCCCGGTGGGGAGAAGAGGCTGGCCGGCCCCCTCAGTAGCCAGCGCCCAGCAGGCCACAAAGGGCCTGAGGCCCGGTCCGTCTGGCGGGCCTCAGCCGGGCGTGGGAGTCCTGGTCCTCGGCAGCGGCCCCGGTCCACCGCGTCCGGCGAGGAGTCACGCGATGGGCTGTGCTGTGGCCAAAGGCAGGACGTGTTTGCTGCTGCCCCTCCCCCCCCCCCGTTTGAAATTGCGTCCTGGACCAGAACTCACCAGGCCCTCCGTGCCTCTCCTTGCTCTCCCACCTGGCAGAAAGCGCGTTCAGCCGGAGAGTGGAAAACAAACTGCAGAACAACTTTGAAGAAACGAACAGCAACTCCCAGAACTCCAGTGGTGAGTATGCTCTGCCCCCTGCTGCTCCTGTGGTGCCCACTGCGGGTGGGTGAGTGGCCGGGGGGCGCGCTGTGATGAAAGGGAGGCCAGTGCCGGGTTCCCGGACATGGCGGCAGGGCTCCTGCCTCCCGCGAGGACCAGCACGTGCATCTTTGCGTGACGCAGCCAGCAGGGGGGGCCCGCCGACCCCCAGGCATCGTGCCCATGATGCTTTCCAGGGACGGGTTTCCCTCCCTTGGGAATGTTCCTGGATTGAGCTTCCAGGGTTCAGCAGGGAAAACGAGTCCCCGATACACTTCACAGTGACAGGACTCCTGTGGGGCCCGTTCAGGAACAGCCCCCTCCATCCCCCCGTCTCGCGATGCAGGGGGCAGGGAAGCCCCCCCATGGGCAACTCGTGCCTTCGCCCTGGCGGGTGTTCCAGGTGAGGAAGCACCAGCCCTCCGGGGCCCGGCACTGCCCAGTCCTGCCTGGTCGGGCGGGCGGGACGGCTCCGCCACTCGGGTGCAGCCTGCCTCGTGCTCCTCCGGGGCAAATCCCGCCTGACCTCGGGCCACCCCGGCTCTGGCACTCTGGGGGGCAGCCCCGGGTGAACACCAGATGGCGGGGAAGGACCCTCTCACCCAGGGAAAGAGCAGGTGTCCCGTGGGGACGGTGCTGGCGGAGTCGGGGCAGGAGCCCCGCGGTGCACGGGCGACACAGCCTGGCGCTCCGGTCCCAGAAGGCGAGGGAGAGCCGTCCTCTGCCCTCTGCGGACAGCCTGGCGCTCATTCCAGGGGGTCCAGCAAGGCACTCGCCGGACTCCCAAAAGCAGCCCTCTGCCTCGCTGATTTCCTGGAAGTAGGCCTTGTGGAGCAGTTGCTTTTGGATAGGCCTGTCGTGCGCTCTGCCAGTTGGGTTTTGCTTTGCAATCGCAAGCACATCTTTGGAATCAGTTAACTGGTGCACAATCATTGTAAAGAACCTGACTGGCTAATAAGCTAAAGATTGCTGCTCAGGTTTTAACTTCGTCTATGCAGTGGGACCCACCAAGGAAAACGGGTGTCCCACTCTGCTCGGCGCACCTTCTGATGCCTCGCGCTCCTGCAGAAATGCCGGCCGGCACACACTCGGTGCCCGTGCTGTGGGGCATTCCCGGGACGCTCTGCAGTGCTTCCTCCGTAACATCCTAGACTGCTAACAGTTTGGGTCGGCTCATCCATTTTTTGACTTAATTTGGGTCTGGGAGGAAACAAGGCTGGGGCTGTAACAGAACCAAAGCAACAGTGAAACAAACAGTCACGCATAAAACTACATGTTTTCCCTTCGTGTTTCTATAAACAAACATAGTGACTTGCGGTACACAGGCGTGTATGCTCGTGTCCGTGTGTTCTGCAGTCACCCCAACGTCCTGGGAACCTCTTCTCTCCTCTCCGCTCCTGCAAGTTTCTGTAGCTCAGTGAATGCAGAGGGATGCCTGAAGGGGGGAGGGTTAGGGTTAGGGTGGCTCCAGGTGAGCTGGCAAGAAGCCAGAGGAAAGAGTCGGGTGGCTCTGGAGGAGGGACTGAGCCTCTGGCCGTGTCTCTCCCTGCGTGGCCACAGACCGACTCGGTCTTGGGGAGGCAGGCAGGCAGGCAGGCAGGCAGAAGTCGGCTGTTCACTGCTCCTGCTGCCCGTCGGCGGGTCGTCCGAAGTTGAGGTCCTGAGGGGAAGTCTCGGCCCGTCCCTGGCAGGAAGGACGCCGGTCTGCGCATGCCCACTGCAGCGCCCCCCGTGACGGGGAGAGGGGTGCCGGCAGGCCGACCTGTGCCGCTCATGCGTCGCTCTGCCCGTGTCCATCTCCTTAAGCAGGTGCGAGGTTCCGGGGCAGGGCAGTGACCACCCCCACTTCCTGCGCGCGTCCCTCCCTGCTTTCAGCTTTGCTGTGCTGCATGTGGTCGCTTCACTCCCAGTCCCGTCTGAGGCTACGCACTCGCTGCCGAGGGCCGCGCTTAATTTCCCCGAGGCGTGGGGCCTGCGATAATGGGCGGCTGGGCAGTAACTGCTGGGGTTCCGTGTGGACGCGCTGCTGCTCGTCCGCCGGCCCTCCTCTCCATCAGGAGGACGGCAGCTGAAACGGCCCCTCTCCCCAGGCTGTGGCCGAGTGCCGTGGCCGGCCAGGAGGGCACCCTGAGACCCCCGGGCAGGCAAGGGTGGCCGGCCTCCGCGCTGGTCTGCCCCCGAGTCCTGGGAGGCTCCACTGAGGGACGCCTCCCTCACATCCAGGCCTCCCCTTTTTCGTGCGGCTCAGGCAGGCCCTTTGGGCAAACCCGGCACGAAGCGCCGTGCTGAGCGCGCTCGCCTCCAGCGGATCGCGCCCGACTTCTTGTGGCGGAAGAGAGACTGCAGCTGCTGCCGGGGTGGCTCTTCCTGTGTCCCGAAGAAGCTCACCCGGCCTGCCGGGGATGGCGAGGGCATGCCGCTCGCGGCTTTTGCCGCCCTGCCGCGACTCTCCGGGCCAGCGTGGCCGGGCAGACGGGCAGGCGCCTCGTGGTGGCAGGTGGCAGAGATGCCCTGCGCGGTCTCAATATCTGCGTCTCTTTCTTTTTTGCAGAAACGGCCAGTCCCCTGGTTTCAAATCCTTTACCGCTTTTGCAAAGTAAGTGTGATGGATGTCGGTGCCGCCCCACCTGCTGGCTGCTTCCCTCCAGCCTCTCTTAAATCCTGGCCAGCCAGCCTCACATCCACCGCCCTGGCCGTCGTCGGGCCGCTTCTCCTCTGTGCCGCTTAAAGGATCAGTGCAGACAAGAGGCCCCGGAGCCAGTGTCTTCCCCCAGCTCTGCGCTAGTTGTGGCTGAAGTTGTCGTGCCGCGTCTTGGTTGGCGTGCTGCGCCCCTTTGGGATTTTTCCTTAACGGGAGTGTAGAAAGCAAGCCTGGCAGGGCACGTGGCAGGCTTCAGAAGCGGCGTTCTTGACGTCGTGGCCTTGAGTCACAAATCACTGCGCAGGCATGGCCTCGCTGTGGCACTGGGAGTGCTCCTGCTGCGGACCTTCCTGCGGGCTGCTCTCTGCACGCAACGCACACCTGCTCGTGGCCGCAAGCACTTTCTGGAGTTCAGAAGTCAGGCTGGTGCTTAACGGGGCTTGGAGCTAACCCTGGACTGAATGTTGATGGTGTTTTGCTCCAGAAATTCGGAGCAAAAGATGTGTGCCTAGGTAGCAGCTTAGTGTCAGGCTGTGGTGGGTGCGCCTTCCGTTAGCTGATGGCCACCATCCGGTTGTGTGCTTCGCTGTGGACTCATTATTTGCTTGCACACAGACACACTGAGCTGCTGCGGCAGCACCTGTTGGCCAAGCTGTTTTTTGTACTCGAGGGAAATGTTGCTGGAGCTCAAGCAGCCCAAGAGGATTCCAGCGTTCCTCCGATGCACCAGCCTCACGTCCCCGACCCCATCCCCGTCTCGCTGGACTCTCTTGCGCGGGACTTGACAGCATTCGGGGGCCGCCCTCTCCGTGGCTCAGCTGGCTGCACGTCCCTCTGCGAAGGGCTCCGGGGCCGCCTGCCTGTGGGCTTTCGCGCCAAGCCGTGGCTTCCCCTCGCCACCTCCTCTCCGGCTGGCCCCTCGTTCCGGCAGCTCTTTCAGCCGGATGCGCTTCGCTCTCCAGGAAGGGAACTGGCAGCCAGTCCCACTGAAGGTCCCCCTCGAAACAAGGCGTGGTTGTTTCCGAGCGGATCCGTGGGCCACACCTGCGCTGGCATTTCGGGAGGAGCAAAGGGCCTGCTTCATTTGCCCCTGGACTCCTGAGCTGTGCCGCTGCCCGTCTGATTACTCCAAGCATATTCAGTGCTCCTGCCTTCTGGCTTTCCTTGCTTTCCATTTCCCGTGTGGGGCTTCTTTATTATGGGGATTAGCCTAGTTCCCCTGGATCCGCATGGGATTACGCATTTCAAAACCCGCAAAGCGAGCGCACAGTATCCCAGGACCTGGGACCCTTTTTGTCCCGGGCTGAGCTTGACGCACCCTGTGGCAACGTACCAGCGTGTTTTGGTTCGGGTCGGGTTGCTCTGCCTCGGTTGCAGCTTTCGAGTTGTATGAACGCGGGTTGATGAGGCCTTCCGGTCCCTGCAGGGCAGGGCGACGCAGCTGCGAGTGGCCACACGGCCAGGTCGGGGCATGGCGGGGGGCGACCTCAGGTGAAGGCCCTGCCCCCCGCTGCACTGCAGGCGTGTGGGGGGCGGCTGCCGGCCAAGGCAAGAAGCAAGGTGCCGAACTCGAAGGATGCTTGGCTCGAGGTTGGGGGCTTCCCTCTGAGGGTCCTTCAGAGGGGAGGCGCTGCAGGAAGGGCATCCGAGAAGATGCAGGCTTCGAGCTGGGAGCTGAGAACCCCCTGGGAACCCCGAGCGGCTGGGGCGAAGGGCCACCGCTCCTCCATCGTCCCCTGGCCCATAAGTGTGCACCGTGGACTGCCATCTTCTCTTGCTCTCTGCCTCCCTCCCCCGCTCTCCCCCCCCCCTTTGCTGTTGCCAGTTACCAAACTACCTGGGAGCATTACTTCTCACAAATTCTACCTGTTAGATTTCTCTGTGATCCTGATAAAACCCCTCCCCGGTCAGCAACGCAGGAGAAGCTCAGGGAACCAAGGTTCAATTCGGATGCTAGGGAGTCCCTCCAGACAGTTAGGACTCTGAGGGTATGGAACGGGCTTCCATGGGAGGTGGTTGAGGCCCCCCCACCGGTGAGGGTGTTCAAGGATCGCTGGACATGCACATGGTAAGCATGTCGTGACCAGAGCCAGCTGGAGCTGGAGGTCAGGCTAGATGGTCTCTGACTCGCTGTGACTTCTGACTCGCTCTGTTTTTATGTTTCTATAGACATAGGAGAACTTTCTATAAACTGGGAGAACTTTAACCATGACTTTGTTCCTACAAGGCTTTGTGCTCGGAATGACGCATCTGGGCCACAGCTGCGACAAATGGGATTGACCGCCACAAGCAGAGCCGTAGGAGGCTGCCGCTCCATCCGCCCATGCCTCTGGGTGTAGCTGAGGTCCGGCGGTGGCTTCCAGCCACGTCTGACCCGCTCTGTCTGCCTCCCTCTTTCAGAACCGTACACCTGCGGGGCCTGCGGCATCCAGTTCCAGTTCTACAACAACCTCCTGGAACACATGCAGTCCCATGCAGGTAAACCAGGTGCTTCCTTCTGGGAACCCCAGCAATGAGCTCGGCTTCCACGGCACCTGCTTGCAACGTCCGTTTTCTCATTTCCATTAGAGAGGGTCGGGCAGTGATAGGCAGAGCCTCTGGAAAACCCCTGTCGGTGAGAAGCGATCCGTGTGTTTTTTCCTGGAAGGTTCCATGGCGGGGATTTGGGCCCCTCCGTGGGTCTGCTCCTTTGGAAAAGCCTGTGGGTCGAGTCGCACAGCTGGGGGCCACTTGCAAGGAGGCTCTGCGTGTACAACTGTGCATCTCGCTCCCTGACAGAAGTCAGTCCGGCCAAGGAGCTCTTGCTGGGGCAGGCCTGGCATTTTATCTAGTGCAGCATTCCTGGAGGTTTCTCAGGAAAAGTGGGAGGATGCGAGCCCTTCTTGGGCACTGAGGGAGAGCACTGGAAAAGCAAAGCCTTGCTGGCAAAGGTGGCTGGGTTTGGCCCTTCAGGAGAAGAAGGGCCGCGCAGATTCAAGGCATCGGATCTGCACGGGGGCTGGGATTCAGGATGTGGAATGATGGAGCCCAGGTGCTCCTGGATCTCACGGCTCCCTGCCCAGCACCCTCGGTTTCTGTCGCCGCTTGCGCTTCTGCGAGGGCCGGGCCGGGCCGGGCGGGCATCGGGCGCAAAGGAGAGCTATTCCTGGCACGTGCTGCTGAAGCGTCTGTCATGTAGCTCAGCCCTCCCAAAGCCTCCTTGCGTGAACCCCCCAATCCCGGCTCCGCCCACGAACGACCTGGGCGCTCTGGGGAACGGTGAAGCGGACTCCGGCAAGCTGCGGCTGCTCGGCCGGGCCGGGCCGCTTCCTGCAGGGGTGCTGCAGCAGCCGCCCCTTCCCAGTATCCATGCCTGTGCTGGTGGGGGGGCAGGAGGCCCGTGCTCTTTGCTGCCTCCCCCGTTCGGCACCGGGGGAGCGGAGGACGCCTTCACCCTCTAAAGCGTCTCTGTTTGGTGCTTCTCAGCTGACAACGAGAACAACATCGCCTCGAACCAGGTCAGGTCGCCCCCCGCGGTGGTGGAGGAGAAGTGGAGGCCGCAGCCGCAGCGGACCAACGCCAACAGCAGTAGGTACCTCTGGGGGCGGACGAGGCCCCTGGCCGCCTGGGGGCCACCCCTCGCCAAGGAGCATTCTGGGGACCGGCTGCGGGGGCCTCGGCTCCGCCTTCCATAACCGCGGCCTCGCTAGTGTTGAGCCGCCGGCAGACGTGGGCACGCGGCTTGGAGAAATGAGGATGACCACTCACTCCCCGGATCTGAGCCCGTTCTGACAGCAGAAGGCGTCTGGGAGGGACTAGCCAGTTGGCTAGGGAGACTGCGAGTCCTTTTTAAGGGGGGGCTGTGGCCTTGGTCTTCTCCGGAAGCAGGTAAGACGGCTGTCAGGAAGCCATGGCAGGCCCCACTGCCCTCGCACGCAGTTCCCCGGTCTCGAGAATTCCTCCACGGGGCGTGCAAGGCTGCACGGACTCACTCCCGCTCCCGCTCTCGCTCCTCCCCTGAGCTCTTCTCAAGGGAAGGTGAAGGTAAAATCCAGCACAGGTGCTTTGAGTTGCTCTTTGTAAAGTTGGGATACAATGCACATTTCTCATCTTCTGTTGGTCAAATAGATTCGGACGCTTGCTTAACGAATACGGTGCCCCTATTAATTGAGGGGAAGCTTTGAAGCAAAGCATGTTTCATGGAAAGGTGCCTGGGCCAGGCCCCTGCAGAGAGCAGCCGCATCCTCGGAAGAAGTGCGCTCGCGTTCATCCCCAGGGAAAAGGGACGGTCGCGCCCCCAGGTAAAACAGCCGCTCTCTCTGCCCTCTCCGCAGCCTCGGCCTGCAGCTCCCTGGCGAACAGCACCATCCCCGAGAAGGAGCGGCAGAACATCGCGGAGCGGCTGCTGCGGGTGATGTGCGCCGACCTGGGGACCCTCAGCGTGGTGAGTGGGAAGGACTTCCTCAAGCTGGCGCAGACGCTGGTCGACAGCGGCGCCCGCTACGGCGCCTTCTCCGTCACCGAGATCCTGGGCAACTTCAACACGCTCGCCCTCAAGCACCTGCCCCGGATGTACAACCAGGTGAAGGTGAAGGTCACCTGCGCCCTGGGCAGCAACGCCTGCCTGGGCATCGGCGTCACCTGCCACTCGCAGAGCATCGGCCCCGACTCGTGCTACATCCTGACCGCGTACCAGGCGGAGGGCAGCAGCATCAAGAGCTACGTGCTGGGCATCAAGGGGGTGGACCTGCGCGACAACGGCGACCTGGTCCACCACTGGGTGCAGAACGTGCTCTCGGAATTCGTGATGTCGGAGATCCGGACGGTGTACGTGACGGACTGCATGGTGAACTCGTCCGCCTTCTCCAAGGCGGGCATGTCCTTGCGCTGCTCGGCGTGTGCCTTGAACTCGGTCGTGCAGAGCGTGCTCAACAAGCGCACACTGCAGGCGCGCAACATGCACGAGGTGGTGGAGCTGCTGAACGTCTGCGAGGACCTGGCGGGCTCGGCGGGCATCTCCAAGGAGACCTTCGGCTCCCTGGAGGAGCTGGCCCCGCCGCCCTGCTGGAACTCCGTCACGGACTCGCTGCTGCTGGTGCACGAGCGCTACGAGCAGATCTGCGAGTTCTACAGCCGGGCCAAGAAGATGAGCCTGATCCAGAGCCTCAACAAGCACCTGCTGAGCAACCTGGCCGCCATCCTGGCCCCCGTGAAGCGGGCCGTGGTGGAGCTGAGCGGCGAGAACCGGCCCACCCTGCAGCTGGTGCTGCCCACCTACGTGAAGCTGGAGAAGCTCTTCACCGCCAAGGCCAACGACGCCGGCATCACCAGCAAGCTGTGCCACCTCTTCCTGGAAGCCCTGAAGGAGAACTTCAAGGTCCACGCGGCCCACAAGGTGGCCATGATCCTGGACCCCCAGCAGAAGCTGCGGCCGGTCCCGCCCTACCAGCACGAGGAGATCATCGGCAAGGTGTGCGAGCTGATCAACGAGGTGAAGGAGTCGTGGGCCGAGGAGCCAGAGTTCGAGCCCTCCGCCAAAAAGCCACGGACGTCGAGCGAGGGCTCCCCGGCGCGGGAGGATGACCGCTCGGGCAAGAACGAAGTCTACGACTACCTGCAGGAGCCCCTCTTCCAGGCGCCCCCGGACCTCTTTCAGTACTGGTCCTGCGTGACCCAGAAGCATATGAAACTCGCCAAGCTCGCCTTCTGGCTCCTGGCGGTGCCCGCCGTGGGGGCCAGAAGCAACTGTGTAAATATGTGTGAACAGGCCCTCATGATCAAGCGGCGGCGGCTGCTGAGTCCGGAGGACATGAACAAGCTCATGTTCCTGAAGTCCAACATGCTTTAAGACTGGGGTGGGGGGTGGGGGGTGGGCCGGGCGGCAGCGTCCCCCAAGGCAAGCCCCCTCCCCTGCGCGACACTGTTCCACACCAAGGCTCCCATTTAAGTTCTAAACACTGTGGACCTCATTCTGAACGCCCTGGGAAACAAAAAGTGCTTTTTATAGATATATAGATATATATTAATATGTATATAAAAAGCTACGTTTGAAGGGAATATGCTGGGGGTGTGCAAGGAACTCTGCTAGGGACACACTCCTTTCTCTAGATTTGTGTGTGAACTTGACAAAGCATAAGGGTGATTTTCACGAGCGCAGTCCAAGTGGGTGCGTATGTTCCGAAGTCTTCAGGCAGCTCAGTTCTCAATTGACTTGAATGGTGGTTTTATTAGTGCCCTTTTTAAAACGTGCTCCCCCTCCCTCCCTCCCGGTGCCCCCCTTCCGCCCCCCCAGCTTCTCCCTGCCATCTGTAGCCCCCACACTGGACGTGGCCCCCAAGAGAAAGCTGTGCGGGCGCGGCCAGCCAGTCTTGCCTCGGCTTTCGGGATCTGCAGCTGGGCAGGTTTGCAGGCAGCTGTGTCAGAAAGACCGATGTCTCTTAGAAAGCAGAAGTGGAGACACGAAGGATGTTCTAAAATAAGAGTTTTCGTTTGTTTCTGTTGTTCTTTTTGTAGGGACACCCCTTTCTGCCCCCTCCCCGCCTGCCTCTGCGTTTGAGAGCGTGTGACCATACCTTTCTGCAGGAAAAAAGAGGATTGGGGGCGGGGGGAAGCCGCCCTGGGACCGTTCTGCAGTTCCACACCCTGCCGGCTATTCCCTCCCCGTCATCTGGTCACGACCCACAGGAGGGGGCTCCACCCCGGGTGCCTCGCCGGCGGTCACCCGCCCCTTGGTCTCGAGCATGTGGGGTCCAAAGAGGGGCTTGTGGAGGGCGCCCCTGGGCTGCTTTTTGGCAGGGACGTCCGTGCTAGGGCCAAGCGCGCTCTGGAGTAGCCTGCACGGAGCTGCCCCTGCAACGGCTCCTTCCTCCGTGGCCTCCATGAAACAGGTTGCAGTGTAAGGACTGTATCTTCTCCGTTCCTGCACGATATCCACATTCAAAGCAATACTCGACTGCAAGGCTGCTCTTCTTCAAGAAAACCCATCCCGGCTGCATCCTTCTTGGGGAGGCGGCAGAAGGTAAGAGGGGTACGGTGTCCCAGGAGCGCTGGCCCGAAGGTCCGCCGGGGCAGGCAGCCTGGCCTGCTGTGTGTGGTGGCCGAGTGGCAGGGACCACGTCCTGACCCCACATTCCATGTGGCTGCTGAGACCTCGCAGCAGGGGCTTCTCGGAGTGGCCCCCGGCCCTCCCAGCAGGCGCGCCGGTGAGGTGCTGTGCTTGGCTGGGAAGGGAAGGGAAGGGAAGGGAGGCGAACCTGCCCTGGTTCGTGTGCAGAGGCAGGCACCGTGGCACCCGCGGGCCCCGTGTACCATGCCGGGGGCTTTCCAGGCTATTCCTCCCCAGCTTCTTTAAAAACGGGGTTGCATTTCCGGACTGGTGGCTGCCAGGCCTCGGAACGCGTGGGAGCTGCAGCTGCCGCATCGTCACTTCCGTGGAGCGGCCCAGACTGGGGATGCTTCCTAGCCCTGCTCCGCCGTGGCTGCCACTTGGGGGCAGCGCCCAGGCCCGTGCCCCACGTCGCCTGCCCCTGCTCTAGCGGGTTGATGCCGTGTGGGCCCCTGCCCCTGGAAGCCGAGGGCAGACCCCTCCCTCCCCCTCCACGGTCCCCCTTGCCAGGATGCCCTCCCCCTCCTTGCCCGCGGCCCGGGGAGGAACTGCGTGGGTGCCGCCAGGTGCCTCTGGCTGGTGTGGGGAACGTTCTGCGAGCCGCCGCCGCTTTCCCCAAGCACGCCACCTCGCCGGGGCTGGGAGCCGTTCGGCCCTCTGTGGGAGCACCAGGCTGGGCAGGGGAGCAGGGCTGAGCCTCCCGCCGCCTGCACTGTGGAGGGGCAGCGGGCGCCCCACAGAGCTCCAGGCTCGAAGGGGGCCTGGGGCGTGTGGAGCTGTGAGTGACACGGTGTGAGGGACCGTGTGCCCATGCTCCACCCCACCTCATCTGGAGCGGCGTGGGCCTTCGGGAGGCCGTAGGCGTGGGGGGCCTGCGGGAAGGGAGGCTGGGGCCGAGGCAGGCAGCGGGGTGGCCCTGTGGCCTCGAGCTGCCCCACTGCCCTGGCTGCCGTGGGCTGAGCGAAGCGGGTTCCGCTCCAGGTTTCCCATCTGTGGTCTAGCTGGCAGGGAGGGGGGGCTGCAGCCCCCCCATCTGGGGGACCCCCACAGGGAGGCTGCAGCTGCCCATGAAAACCGGGGCAAAGCGGCTGCCGTGCCTCCACCTCACAACCTGTGCAAGGGCTTTTGTCTTCTCCTGCCTGTCCGTCCTCGCTCCTTTCATGGTGGGTGGGTGCAGGCAAAGCCCGGGAGGGGGGGCTCGTCTCCATCAGGGCCTCCCTCGCCCTGCCACCCGAGTAGGAAGTAGCACCCTGTGCCGGCAGTGCCAGTGATGCTGGGCTGGGTCCGGTCCTGCCTTCCTCAGGAGGGGGGCTCCACTTGGGGCCCCTCCTGCCGGCACCCCTCCCTTTGGCCCTCCTGCAAGATCTCCAGGCTTTCCGTGCAGCGTTTGCAAGAGGCTCGCGTTGCAGGGCAGCCGTCTCCCCAGCAGGCCGGGTGGGTGTGGGTCAGGACCCACTCTGCTGGTGGCTGCCGTGTTTCATCCGGTCCTTTTGAGCAAGGCAACCCAGAAAACCCAGGGCCTGGGCCTTCAAGGGCCAGACTGCGCCAGGCACAAGGCCCCCGGGCCACTCGGGGTGGGTGAAGCCCTCCATCCCGCTTCCCCCACACCCCCCCCCTCCAAAGGCCCGTTCCTGGTGGCACGGGCGATGCAAAGACCCAGCGCCCCCCTGCCCCCCCAGCAGCCCCTTGCCGATGTCTCAGGACCCCACAGTGGCGGGAACGGACCCTGAGCCTGACCGGAGGCAGACGGAGACCAGAGGCCCCAGGGGCTGCGCTCTGGGGGTCGGAGGCCGCCTTTTGGTGCTCTGGAAAGCGCTGGAGGGAGGGAGGGAGCGGCGCCCCAGCGAAGCCACGCCGGGGCCAGGCAGCTCCTGCGGGGCTGGCTTGGGCTGGGCAAGAGGCCGCCGTGGCTGCGGCCGCCACGCCTGTGGGGAAGGCTTAGGCGAGCTGGAGCTCGGGCCACGCCTCAGTCAAACGGCGGAGCTGCTGGTCTCACCCCCGCAAGCTGCCGCGGGAACGTGTCTTCTGGGGAGACACTCGGCCAGCGTCCTGGCGGCCCTGCGCTGGAGCTGCTGGCCCGGCGGGGGCCGCTGGTCAGAGGAGCCTTGACCCATCTGTTGCTGTGGCTCCCCACGGCTCTGGGGGTGAGCAGGGCAGCACCCTCCCAGCCCCCTGAAGGGCCCAAAGCCGCCGGGCTGCTCTTCCTCGTGGGGGAGCCCCTGGCAGGGACCACTGAAGGGCAGGGCCCCGCAGGAGCCACTCCTCGACTCCCGGCGTGCCAAGAGAAAGGGGCTACAGACCAGGGGACACGGTGCCATCCGTGCAACGCCACTGCAGCTGAGCCAGCCCCACGGAAAGGCGGACGGGCCCCTGCCCACCCCAAGGGGCCCGGGAACCATCAGAGGCAGATGCTGCTGCTGCTCGGGCTGTGGCCCTTCCCACCCGCGTGCAGGAGCCCCAGGAAGCACGGGTCGCCCCCGCCCGCCCGCCCCTCATCTTCCTCCTCCAGGCAATGAGTGCACGGAGACCTCAGCTGGGGCGGGGGGCAGGAACGGGGCCCCCCTCCCCTCCGCGACGCAAGAGCGTTGCTCCCCGTGTTGTAGTTCAGTGTTCCAGGCAATACCAAGAGACGTGTGAGGTTGCAGCTCTCTCAGCACGAGAGTTACAGAAGTCTAAATGTCATCTTTAAAGAAAAGATTACAGAAAAAAAGTTTTAAAAATATATACAAAAATATTTTTTAGGCCAGAGTTTTCTACAGGTATTAATGAATATTTTTCTTAATCCTTATAAGTTTTACTGTGTTTAATATTTCTTAATACCGGTAGCATTAATTTATACTTTTGTAGCGACACACTATTTTTATAAAAATGCCACCACTGGCTTGTCTTCATGATTGGGGGTGCGGGTGGGGGGGGGGGGGGGGGAGAAATTGTGAGGGCCCTCCTGCTGAACCACGTACTGTATTTAAAAAGAGAAAAAGTTATCTACTGTCACGCTTGCTGTGTGTTAATAAAGAAGAAAGAAAACCGCTCAGGGGGTCAGTGTCAGTGTCGGCGGCAGTGCGGCCCGCTGGCTTGGGGGCCAGGGGCGGACGTGGCTGCAGGCCGGGCCGGATTCCTGCCTGGAAGCCCGCACAGGGCTCGGTTGCCACTTGGCCAGCCGCTGCCATGGGGAGAGGAGCGGGGCGGCCCCCACGTGTGGGGCCACGAGTCGCCTGAGCTGCCCTCTGGCGAGCCCTTTGGGATCTGGTCGGGAGCATTCAAACTCAGGGGCGGAGCGGGGTGCCCTGCTGGCTTGTGCCCCCCAAGCGGGCTGACCAGGGCTGCTCCACACCCCCGAGATGCTCCGTCCACAGGTGTGTGGCACTTCACAGGCACAGGCCCCAAAGCCGGAGGGAGGGCAAGGGGAGGCCGGGGCCGTTCCACAGTGGAGCGCATCTTCGGCTTGCCACCCGTGTCTCCTTGCGGCTCCCGTGTTTCTCCCAACTCGGAGCCCCTGCTGAGAAAAAGCGTGTGGCCAGCTCTGCCTGAGGGGGCTCGTGTGGCTGGACTTCACGGAGACATTGTCTCGGAAAGCATCTCCTTGGCCGTTTTGCACCTTGGGGGCGAATTCGTTAGAGCCATGTGCAAAGTCACCTCGAAGGCCACCTCTCCAGGGAGCAGGCGCAGCACCCGACACGGACGCCACAGCCAAGCCAGCTCCCTCAGCAAAGGGCTTGGCGGCTGCAGCAGGAGCAGCGCCAGAGAGCCCCCGGGCCCTGCCAGCGGGCGCCGGAGCCCCTTGCATGAGAGGTGGCCCTTCGGCCCTTCCTGCAACCGTGAACCGCCTCGTGCTGGGATGCTTCTCCCAGCTACTGCCAGGAATTTAGCAAGCTTCTATGCCGGCTCCACCGGGGCCGCCAGAGTTCAAGGGAGGGACCGGCAGGCAGGCCCGGAGCGGCACCCACGGCATCGCTGCCCGGCCCCGGAGCCCGCATGCGGCCCCCCACTGGCCCCGGGCACAGCCCACACTGGGTCCCCAGAAAAAGGCACCGTGCTCTGCCCCACAAGAATCCCACTCTGTAGGGTGTGGGGAGCGGGAAAGTCCTTTAGAAACGGTGTGCACAGCATCACCTGCGGTCTCGCATGGTCAAGTGGGGGCAGGGGGAAGAGGTGCTGTTTGTGCCCCATCGCCAAACCAGCGAGGCAGAACCCGCCCTCCCTCTGGCCGCCCACCCCCCGCTCTTGCGCCCAAGCAACATCCAGGCTAGTGCTGCTGAAACAGTGACCGGACCCCCTGCCCCCCTCGCTGCAGTGGCTCCCAGCAAGGCCCCCAGCAGGCGTGCCGCGGCGGGAACCGCTCCGTCACCAGTCCAGCGAATCCTCCTGGCTTGCGAGCCTCGCACT